GTGAAAAGAGAGAGAGAATCTTTTGCAACATTGGGGGTCTTCTCTGTTTTTTCCTGCGTTCCAGGCGGCAGCTGTCTTTTGATGATGTTGAGGGTTGAGTTCGAAGAATGTGACTTGGCAAAGACAGTCATCCAGTGGAGAACAATTATTGAAGCCAATAGCATCAAAGTTGACCTCTTCGGATCCATAGCTGCCAAGTAAGAAATAAGAAAAGAAATTAGTCGTTTTCTAAAATCCAGCTAAAAAAAGACAGAAAGGGTTTGTTGTGGGTAAGAAGTGTTTAAATATTCACCCCAGTTAAATAAACACAAATCAATGGATTTCACTCAGTGGGCACTTTATTTTATCTTTGCAAAGAGAAAACAGTTCATCATACGGCCCTTATTGTGTAGTAATCAGCCCTGTTTTGATCTGGGCAGTGTTTGTTTCCCTTACTTGCTGTATTGGAATGTAGTTAGTGTCAAAACTCGAGCAGTTACAGTAGTTAAAGTCAATGAGCAGCTGAGATCTCGCGAGAGCTGTGTGCGTAACTAAAATGGTGACATATATGTAGTTCAAAACAAATCCACTCAGGTAAGTACAAGCCAATAATTGTAAAGTAAACAAAGTCAGATTTAAACATTAACAATTGTCTTGTATTTTTGGAGGGAACAAACTGGACGAGGAGACCTTGACGAGCCTGGAGAGCTACCTGGGCGAGTGTTTTGACACCATCGTAATAGGGAAGCCTAGGAATCCCGCTTCCACAAGCACATTTTCTACCAAACGCTCTCAATCTAACTCAACCATTGCTGCTTCATCTCCAGACAGGAGCTACAGCGAAGTCCTGCAATAAATCAACATAAAGCTAACCAGCCTAGATGCCCGCCTCGCCTTGGTAGAAGTCCTGCATAAGAAGTTTCAAGCCGTGTGAGAGTTGCTGGAATACAGCCAAGCGCAGCTAAACTCCATTACCGCCAAGAACGAAGCGCTGAAGGGGGAAGTCACGAGGCTGACCGAGGGGATGATCCAGCTGTCCGGTGAAAATAAGAACATGAAAGAATCCATTCTGGGCATTCAGCCACGGAGCATGAGAGACAATGTCATCTTAGCAGGAATCGAGGAGCGGTAGGAGGAAGATCCCGGGGTGAGATCGTATCTCTCCTATCCTGGCTTCTCTTCATTGGCTTCCTGTTAAATCCAGAATAGAATTTAAAATCCTCCTTCTCACATATAAAGCCTTAGGTAGCCAAGTTCCCTCTATTATCAGAGATCTGATTGTTGTTAGTTCAATCTCTAGTGTTATGCCTTCTCTGCTTTTTCTCATGGTGGTTTTGCCTCGTCTGTTCCTGTTTGGCTGTGACTCCATCCTGGAGAGTAATGTCAGCTGTGCTGCTGCCATCAACACCCTTGTTTATAGATGTTGGAGAACAAGACAGTGACTGGCTGGATGTGCTCTCTTCATCCTC